CATCTTAAACTCCATTACTGTGAAAAACGTGGGGAGTGCATTCTGATGACAACTGGCAGTCCCTGCCACATTATAGTCATGGTTCCTTTGTCTACAGAGTGGCTCCTGCAGGGTGGACTTTGGTGAGTGTGGCAGGAGAGATGTGGGTGGAACATGGGTACATGCTTTTGCCACACCTAGTTAGAAATGGGACTGGGAAATGGAGTCTTCAGCTGGTAATCACAGGGCAACAAGGTGGCCGGGCCAGTGCCTGGGCACAGATTGGAAACAGCAGAAGCAGCAGGTGTGGTAGCAGCGGCCAAGGACAAGCGGGGAAGGAGGAACTCTATAGGAGGGCAGCACTGAGACCCCTATAAGGCCAGCCTGGCTCTTTGTCCCCAAAGTTCGTCTCTGTGGCATCTATGCAAATATTAACTCTTTAGCCTGAACCTTGGGACAGAAACTGCTTGGCAACATCAGGAAGTAGATGTTACTAGTAAATTATTACAAAATAAAGTCATACACATGAACATTGCAATAAAGCATTTATCAAGGAATTATTAGAGCTCTTTAAAGATTTTGGAATCTTTGGATTTAAATGCTGAAACATTGCAAAATGAATATCCACAAGCTTAGAAACAGAAGTTATATTTTACATTCTCAGTGGAAAAGAACGTTACATTCAAATGAACTTCAGGTGGACCAATTATTAATGAGGAAGATAAAATAAAATGAAAATTTCCCTTGAAGTTGAAAATAGAGTTATAGAATGTATAAACAGGCATTTAAAATTATATACGAATTGTGAAGCTACTTTCAATTTCTTGTACGATCTCTACAATTTTCAGGAAATGTCAGAAGAAACATCAAAATGTCGTATAAATTTACACTTAGAATTCAGACTTACACAAAACTGACTCATATGAAGAGTTAAGTCTTTGTATTAAAATTGCTCCATGAGACTGAATTCTAGACATACTAAATTTTATATTTTGAAATAATTTATTAAAATTTATCCCAAATGTTGTCATAGCTTCTAAAATATTCTTAACAGCTCCAGTAACAGTTGCATAAGAAGAAAGATCCTTGTCAAACTTAAAAGTTAACAAAAATTGCTTGCAACCTTCTATTTGTGTAGAGCTAATAATGTCATTTACAGCTATTCAGAATGAAAATAATTTTGCTAAAGTGCAATTTTGATGACTTAAAAAATAAAATTTCAAAACATTGAGTAAGAAAAAATGCAGTTAATTGTGATGTCACATTAATAATGTATTGGTACTTATTTTATTTATTATTTTTAAAGGAAAAGCATATTTATGTTTTAGTATCTTTAAAGCACTTCTGGCCGGGTACAGTGGTTCATGCCTGTAATTCTAGTACTTTGAGAGGCTGAGATGGGTGGATCGCTTGAGCTCAGGAGTTTGAAACTAGCCTGGGCAACATGGCAAAACTCGTTTTTACAAAAAATACAAAAATTAGCCAGGTGTGGTGGTGGGTGTCAGTCATCCTAGCTACTTGGGGACCGAGGTAGGAAGATTTCTTGAGCCTGGGAGATCGAGGTTGCAGTGAGCCAAGATTGTGCTACTGCACTCAAGCCTGGGCAACAGAGGGAGACCCTGTGTCTAAATAAATAAATAAATAAATAAATAAATAAATAAATAAATAAAGTACTGCAAATTATGTAGCCAGCCCTGGCTGAGGGATTTATCTATCTGCTCAGCTTTCTGCAACTGCCTCTTTGCTGTCTTTTCTATGGCTGCTGCAGAACAATATGACATCTCCTACCTTATTTTTTGTCCTGAAATATATTGCTCTTTTGAGGTTTTAAAGGGATTTGGGTTGTTAACGACAAATGGAAAGGGAGGGAAGTCAAGGCTAAGCTCCTCCTCAGGCCATTGCCCTCTTCTGTTTCTTGCTCAGCTCTTGCTTTCTGGGAAAGTCACAAACACTTATAGCTGATAGCTACAGAAGCACAGGGAGCACTTGGTTGAACCAAGGCCTGATGTCAGATTTATTTACATTTTGGAGTATTGTTCCTCAGTCTTTTGAACATTCCCATTACAGGAGTAGGATCTAACAGCAGTTCTCCTCCCACTGATCTTTCATGGCCAAGATGCCTGCCACCCTGGCTCCTCACTGTAGGAGAAATGAGTGAAATAGACCAGAGCCAAAGATTTCAACTAGAGAAAGATTCCAGGCTGCAGCATTTCTGACAAAGGCAATAGGAGGGAAGAAGAGGGCAGTCGGCAGGTGGGAGAGAAGGCACACCTGCTTGAGTCAGCCACTTGCAGGTGGTTGTTGGTATGGAACGCGGAGACTCATAAAAAATGAATAAGATATTAAGGCATCTGTGGTAGGGAGAATAATGGCCCCCAAAAGATGTCCATGTCCTAAATCCTGGGATCTGTAATTAGGTTATGTGGCAATGGAAATTAAAGTTGAAGATGGAAATAAGGGTGCTTCTCATCTGACCTTCAAACAGGGGAATTCTGGGTTGTCTCATTAGGCTCGGTGCAGTCAGAAGCATCTTTAAAAAGGCAGGCAGAAGAGGAGAGTCAGAGAAGGATTTGTGATGACAGCCCTTAGATCAAACAGCTGCCATGTTACTGGCTTTCAAGACAAAGGGGGTCCATGAGCCAAGAAATGAGGGACGCCTCTAGAAGACAGCCTTGCCAACACCTTGATTTTATCCCAGTGAGACCCCTGTTGGACTTTTGACTTCCAGGATTGCGAGAGAATAAATTTCTGTTGTTTTCAGCCACCCAATTTGTGGCAAATTTTTATGGCAGCAATAGGAAACTAATACAGCCCTCTTGAGCATTGATATTAACAGCATGAGCTCTGGAGTCAAACTGCTTAGATTCTGATAGGTAGCTCCACCACCTATTAGCTATTTCATGGGGAAAGTAACTGGAGCCTTAGTTTCATCCTCTGATCAATGAGGTTATCACCTCTTGAATGCGTTCTAAGGAAAAAGGAAGGTAAAGTCTTTAAGCCATATACTGTGAAGAGAAAGCACCAGACAAGTATTAGCTTTAAAAAAATCATGGATGCCTGGTTCTTAGCATGGCAAAGGACTTCCCTCCACTCTTACTCCCTTGTAATTTGCTGCTCCCCTCTTCTTTAGCCCCTGCTAACCCCACACTGACTTCTGGTCCTGTAGGGTCAGTATATACCCAGGTACATTCTCACCAGGGCCCCATTCTTTAGATGCCACCCTTTCCTATTTTCTCATCTAAATTCTCTAATGTCTTTTAAAAAGTAGAAATAAGAAGATGAATATATTAAGTGCTATCTGCTGAGGTGTTAATCACTGATAATGGCTTCATCTCTTAAGGTCTTGTAGTTTTGCCATGTCCAGGACTGTGCCTTTTGCGGAGAGCCTCTGGAAATCTTGGTTAGTTGTAAGATAGAGGAGTCCTTAGGAATTGGCTTTTAATTGAGGACTTTTGGCTTAAGTTAAATGAGTAGGATTCACAGTGAGGAATTTCAACTGGGAAATATTTTAAGCAGTGAGACCTCCCAGGATTCCTTCGAATTATACCACATTTTATGAAGCGTTTGGCCTCCTGTTCTGTCTACTTTTAAGCAGCTTTGAAATGACTGTCACAAAATTTTCATAGGATAGTTGCTGAGAAAAGTTGGTAGTTTTCTTGAAGGTCCATAGAGTAGAGCAGTTTAGAGCTTATGATACCAACAATTTCAGAAGAACTTTTCTACAGCTGTGAAGAATTTCATTTCAACCTGGATTCCATTGTGAGAAATTCTAACAGGAATTTGTAATGAGATTATCTTGTAATGAGATCACCTGCTGAAAAATCCATTCAGTATCCACAGAACTCACATTATGTACAAGTTACAGTTGTAAAAATATATAAAAAGCCATTTGAAACAAAACTGACTGAGTAAAAACTGAATTTCTAAAGTTATTCCTTATTATGAGAATGTAAAAAGTAAATTCTAAAATAAATGCACAAAGAACATGTTAGTGTCCCATAGTCATTGGTTTATGAGGATTCAACAAAACTGGCTGAGTAAAAACTGAATTTCTGAAGTTATTGCTTATTATGAGAATGTAAAAAGTAAATTCTAAAATAAATGCACAAGGAACATGTTAGTGTTCCGTAGTCATTGGCTTATGAGGATTCACATTTTTGTGTTGGTATGTAAAATGCAAAATGATTTTTAAAAGAAATATGATTTTATTTTAAAATAAACACTGAAGACACATGAAATAGGATGGTTTTCAAATACTGTTACACATGGGGACACTTTTCACAAGTACTTTACAGGCTGTGTGCTTGAGTTTATGATGTGGTCTCCCTCTTGTGGTCGGTGTTAAGAAAGGTACTGGCTTCAAAGCAATGACTAAATTTCTTTCCCTTTTGCTGAGATTTGAATCTGGAAAGCATTTTGAGAGGTCAGGCTATGTATTTTACATTTTGACCATGGCTTTTGGGAAGCTTGATTATTTTAACAAAAGTCAACCGATCGATCAGTCTGTCTCCTCTCCCTATGGCCATGTCAGAATCAGTTTTGACTATTAGGAAATCTGACCTAGTTTCTCTGTCTTGTGGCCTGTTTTTGGTGTATTATGGCCAGAATGTATCTCTTAATTTTGGCATTAGTATTTTCCATCTACTTTAGAAAGGCTATAGGTGAATGTGAAGTTTATTGAGTTCACACTGTATACCTGTCACTCTTCTGGGTCCTTCAGCCACAGCAAGAAACCAAACAGATAAAAATCACTGCCTTCATGGAGTTTTTGTTCTATCACAAATATAGGCATGGTTTATGAAGACATAAACCATAAAGACTGACATGTTAGACTTCACATGTTTGCAAAACTTTCCTATAGCCGAAGAAGCTATAGATTTAAAAGACAAATACATGAAACACTGGGAGAAAATAATTGCAGCAAAAGGAACTCTGATAAACCAGTCGGGGGGGGGAAAAAAAAACAATAGACGTGTGCAAACAGTAGGAGTAGGCATCAACTGTGAAGGGCTTTCACTTACCTTACGTAATCATTGGTAGAAGTGGGATATTTCAGATTTACTCAGTTGCAGACACAAGCCAAGTATGCCCTTCAGAAAAGATATCTCTTAGCTGAAATCCACTGGGTCTCCATACCTCTCACCTGGTGAGGGTATCAGGTTGAATTCTTCCCTGTATGTGCCTCACAGCGACTACGTGCTGAGTATGGCTGTCATCGTGTGATATGGCTTCGAAACTGCATGTGTCCTATCCTTTTGTCAAGTGGAAAAAAAGGAACCTTTTCTCGGAAGCATCACCTCTATTCTGAGTTCAGTGGCTCCTCCCAAACCCTCCACCATCGACAGATCTTCATGTTATGAAACCTCTCGGGGTTAAGCACATTCAGTTGATAAATAGAGTGTTTTTAGAGGAGACTCCGTATCTGCTCAAATTGCAGTAATGAGAGTTCATAGGAATAGGAGCACAGTTTTTGACTTCCCATTATCTGCTCAGTGCATTCCCTCTTTTCAGGGATAAAAGAGACCATTCTCCGCTTGACTCGGGGCTAATCTTAAGGCCAGATATTTTCTGTACATTTCTAGTCCCTGTAGTCTCTCCTGAAACCTCATCCTCTTTTAACTTCTTACCCCTTATTGCCCTGGCTCATTCTGTCCCCTTGATTGAATGGCTATAGATTGTTCACAGGGGCCATTCCTGTTTACCAGTATAAAAGAAAATGTTAGTCCTGTGAAGACTCTGGAAACATTTTAGCAGTTTTTCTCCCCTCCCCGCTGAGCGCTTGGTTGTTGTGTAACCAGTCCTCTAGACTTAGCAAATTGGCAGCTATGACTCTGGAATGCAAGTTAATTAAATTGTGCTTGTGTTTAGTTTTACGCAAGGTTGTTCCCCGCCCCCGCCCCCCCCCCCCCCCCCCCCCCCCCGTTAGGTTTAGTCTATGTGGCTTTGTTATATGCAATCCTGGTAACTAGGGATACTGAGAGAGATTTTAGGTAGTGGTGCTGTGAAGGGCAAGCGGTAGTAGAAAAGTGGAGGAGCCTGGGAGAAAGAATCCAGAGACCTCTGTGTTCCACCAGCATGTAAATCATTTAATAGGATACAAACGATTAAACAGTGAAAACCAACTTTCCTGAAGCAATTGACTTCCTTTTCTATTTATGAGCCAAAGAGAAGTTAGTGTTAAATAATTCTGTCCCTAGATGTTGTTGTATTAATGTCTGTGTGTGTTGATCACTTGAGACCACTTTCTCCTCCAGTTATCCGGGTTGTTTCAAAGAACCCAGGTGCCCCTACCTTCCAAGTCTAAGTAGGTATGCTGTATCTGTAAGGTTGGGGGTTAGGACCTCGGCTTAATTGCAGGTTAACCCTGTAAGCAAAAGGCGTTTTTCAGTAGTTTGAGATGGCCATCTTTCAGAGGTGAGTTGTACACTTTCCAGCCTTAGTAAACAGGACATACTGGGCCTTACTTGATTTGGTGCTCGGCACTTTATGTCCATTACTGATTAGTATATTCAGAGACAATCCCAAAGTAGGTGGGATTCAGATAAGGAAACTGAAGCTCAGAAAAGTTAAGTAATTTGCCAAAGCAGCACAGATAGTGTAAATTTAAATACAAATATCTGCTTTTCTACAAGGTTACCTTTATTTTGTTTTCTCAGGTCCTGATTGTGAATAGTTTCTTTTCTGGTCTGTAGATTCAGTATTAGTGTGGACATTAGGGTGTTTATGAACTCATTTCCTCACCATTAACTTTTTTCTCTTAAATATGGTAGTATTCAGAATGGAAGTTATCTGATTATTCTGGGGCAGTTTAAGCACGAAGGGCCAGATGTTCGGAAGTAGCTCGGTTTTCCCAATTCTACCTTGACCCGATGAACATGTGCTGCTTCATGGGAGCTGGTGGGTGGGGTTTGTGTGGTCGTGAAGGGAATGGAGAGTATAGGAGAGGCTCCAGCAGAGTGCTGACGTAGGGCTTCAGAATCTTGGCATCCAATTGGAAGATAGTTGAGGTCCTACAGTACCAATATGCTGAAGATCAGGGGATTTCTAAAAGTGCTAATGCTGAGAAATACCTAATGTAGATGACAGGTTGATGAGTACAGCACACCATCATGGCATGTGTGTACCTATGTAACAAACCTGCACGTTCTGCACGTGTATCCCAGAACTTAAAGTATAATAATAATAAAAAAAAGAATGCTGATGCTTTGAAATAGTCACGTTATAGTAATCAACAATAGAGAGTAGGTAGAAAGTGATGCAATACATTCTTCATGGGATTGGAAGTGAATTTTTAGACATTAGGATAGAACTGTAATCTGTTTTTGAAAGATATTTTTCAAAGTTCTTTTCACATAAATTTGAAACAAGTATTTTTTTTCTATTTCTGGTTATCAGGATACATAATATTGTAAAGTCATAGGCAATTTATTTTAGCTTTTAAATAGCCAATACATAAAATGGACTAAAAGAAACTGTGATTAAAAATAAATTTGGTTAGAGTTGAAATGAAGTCCACAAATTGTTAACTTGTAAAATGAAATTCGTTCAATTTGTACAGTATAGCCCAACAAATAAGAAAAATACCATGGGATGGCTCTTCAAACTGATTTTTTTTCTTTGTTTATGTTTGTCCTAAGTCTGTCCATAAACGTTGTGACTGAGTTATGCATTTAAAAAAGGTCTAGAAAAAAATGTTAATGTATATAGCTTTTCAGATACTACCATATGAATGCAAGAGACTATTTTCTTTCCAAATAAAATATATCTCCTTTATTTCTCTTAGATTTATATGCAATTATTTAACTCTTTTATAGAAGCCATCCTGTATTTGTTTAAAATTTGTCAAAGGTAGTTTATATGCTGTTCCATTGTTATCACTTCATGATTCATAGTGACTAAATGCAAAATGTCACTTCAGACAGCCTTATAATTGGGGAAAAATCTCAAAAATAAAGTATTATTAAACACAATTTTTTTTAAGAAACTAAGTTTATTTCCTAAAGCAAATTCAGAAGGTAGCACCTTCCAAGAAACCTAAATAAGAAATTATCTTTGAATTTAGAAACATCTGTGTGACTCATCGAGAGGCGGGTAATAAGCACAAAGTTTAAAAATTGTCCATGTTCTTTAGAAATCTGAAGTTATGTTACTGCACTTCTGTTCAGGAAATGATAAATAACACAATCATGAGGTACATCTTGTTTTCCAACGATTTAAAAAAAATGCTTCCGGGTCATATTTAGGACTTTTCCCTTCCTTCCTTCCTTCCTTCCTTCCTTCCTTCCTTCCTTCCTTCCTTCCTTCCTCTCTTCCTTCCTTCCTTCCTCTCTTCTTTCCTTCCTTCCTTTCTTCCTTCCTTCCAGCATTGAAATGTAATTAAGATTCTTTAGATTTCTGCTTGGCAGTCTGTTTCTAGCAGTCTCTGATCATAAAGCTTGGCTTCCTGCTTTTTACTCTGCCTTTAAAAAAAACTTTCTACTTTGTTTAATTAGATTTAAAATCTACTGGGTAGGATTTTTTACTGTGATTGTACTTGAAATGTTGAATGATGACATTGGAATGTTTTCTAAACTCTATTTACATTCTCTCTCCTATCAGAGTGCCACCAGTTACAGATCTATTCTGTTGTTTCTTGACAATGTTTTAGAAAATATTATAATGACTAATTTTTTTTAATAGAGCAATAGCTCTTCCATCATCATGCTGTTAGGCAGGCAATAAGTATACTTAGCTCTTATTTTTAGGAATTTAAGCTGAAGGCCAGATGGCAAAGTTTTCATTGAATCAAAGCATAGCTTTATTTCAAAGGAAAAAAAATGAACCAATGAGTTGGCTTAAGTTCAGGAGTTGTTTGGGATTTTCTCTGAACATTTGTTTGACAGAGACAGTTTCTCACTAATTAAAAGATAAATAAAAGACATCAAGGAATGTTGAATAAAAGAGTTGTATTGTTGTGAAGGGACTGATTTTGCCTTGTCTTTGCAGCAAGGTGAAACCTACAGCCCATAAAAGAAGATATCACCATGACATTGCCTTTTTAGAATATTGACGTTAAGAGCTCCTTAAGGGCATTTTTTCAGCAGGCATTTACCAACCACCTGTCATATGCTACTTTTCAACAAAAATGTGTAAGTTAAAAGGTACTAATGGAGACCTTTGCATTCTTTGTAATGAAGGAAACATCAGTACAATAGCACAATCTACTAAGAAAACAACAACAACAAAAAGTGTGTTTTCATCTCTACAGCCTCTGGAAAGGGAAAGCAACATTGAGGAGGGAAGGATTGAGAAGAGATTGTGTCAGGTCACTCTGATTGGGTGGAATGGAGAGAAATGTCTGGAGGGTGGAGGAGGAAGCAGGGAGATGTAGGAGACATACCCTAAGGCTTTGGCATTCCCATTATATAGCAGAGACCAGTGCTCACATGCTTGTAGAAGAGGCTGGACCTCCAAAAGGAATGGCTGTATGGGGCATCCAGGAAAGCTAGACCCTAGGGACCATGGCCCTGTACCCTGGCTTGGCACAGACACAATGGCACGTTCTGTCTAGCAGTCACTTAAGGACTTAGAGGCCATGAGCCTCTGGCAGTTCTCTGAGGAATGAAAGCTAGAGGTCCTTTCTTTGTTCTTCCAAGTTCCATGTAAGCCCCTTGGATCCTTGTACCATCCTAAGGAGGGAGAGACCCCTGCAAAATGTGCCTGAAAGATCTTTCTCATCAGCTTTTTGAGTGGGGAAGTATGAATTTATTTTATTTAAGAAAATAATGTGGCTTTTCTTGTACCTGGTGTAACAGCATTGAATCCACACACTGTACACCTTCAAGCAGGGCTATTCTGAGTTCAATTTGAGGGTCTAGGTGTCATGTTTTACTCTGAGTCTTCATGTTCTATACCTTTCCTGAGTCCCTCTCTTCCCCTAAAAGTCACTCATTCTATGTTTCATTTCTCAAGTCTAAGTATAATAAAAGCTAATGATAACATAAAGCTAAACAGTCTGTAATTACATTCGGAACTAAGTATTCAACTGAACACAAAATCTTAAGGGTGAAGGAGTTTTTAAACTTGTTTTTGACTACAAAAGCCCATTTTTAAAGAAAATTTTCCATGGACTCAAATGTATAAAGCAGCCAACAGTAGAGCTCTTTGGTTGAAATGGAGTAGGAAATTGAATATACCCCTTTAATCCATGATGTGGCCCCAAAGCCCCTTTCCTTGCTAACCTTGAGTTCTTCTAAAACCTACAATTTTAACCCAAAGTATGGGTAGTGTGGGTGTCAGGGATGGAATGTTAGACACATCATCACAGGCCAGTGGGGAAGATTATTTTCCGTAGGAGGGCCATTTGTTGTCCTACTAAGAGCAGATGCCACTCATAAGCCAGATGTGTCTGCGGGCTTGAATGAACATCCCACTATAACATAGAGGGATTTTTATCCTGCATCAGTAGTTTATTCTCCTAGCAATGAAAATAATAAAGTTGTAAATATTCATTGCCATTGAGAGCCAAGAAATAGGAACAATCATTTAGTCATGCTCCATAGATACCTCCTATTTTCGGTCTTCATTTATTTATCCAACAGATATCTAACTTGCACCTATAATGTGTCAGTTCTATTCTAGACTCAGGGTACAGCAGTAAGAAAACCTGACAAAATGCCTTTCTTCAAGGAAATTACATTCTAGAAGGGAGAGGGAGACAATCAGCAAACATAAATCTTCTGTGAATATAAATTATG